CTCCGCTAACGATAGCGAATCACAACACCATGCAGCCCTCGTTAACTATATTATTATCATTTATTACGATGTACAGACAGCAGCTGACTTCGTGTAGAATAATTAATCATCGTGATAATTGCTGACATTTTCGAAAATTGATGCAAAAAATTTTGTTTTATCAAAGGACTTTTCGGTCAAGGAATCTGCCCAATGGTTTTTTTAGCCAAGGAATTTGTTCAAAATGTTTTTGACCAAGGAATCTGTTCAAGAATTCTTTGGCCAAACAGCTTTCCGAAAAATTTTAACTCCATTATTTTTTTTCCAGAAATGCTGAAAGTCCCGGAATTTCAAATCCAGTGATTTAAAAAGTCTCCCACATCTTAAAAAGCTAAAACTAAAAATTCTGATCTGTTTAAGAGGTTTTTTTTTGTCCAAGGACAATTTATCCAGGAAAATTTAATTTCAAATCCTTTTCTGGAAGTGCTGAGCATTCCGAAATTTCAAGTCCACGGTCAATTGCAAAAATCTGGTCTCGGACCTTGAAAATATATATTTATAAACTTTTTTACGAATATTTCCCATAAACGACCTCACTTCAATCCCTATCCTCTTCACTCCGATTTTTTTTTTACTTCATTCTCTATGAAAGATTGGCAAGGCACCTTTTTTTGGATTGGCAACCGCCAAATCGAGGTGATCTTGCTAAACACACCTTAGTAGCTATCCCGAAACAGTTAAAACCCTATCAAACTGATTCCTTGGGGAGAAATAGTTGGTAATCCCTACAGAAGACAAAATGATCGTCAAGATTATCAGCAGACTGACCACTGGGCGAAGCAGCACTGATCAAAATAAAAGGAAAAGTTATAATCTGTATTGCTGAATTAGGCTGTGGAATGCAACTGATCAAAGTATGAGTGACAGAGGTACTCGGAAGTAATCTAAGCGAAAATAGCTGGCAACAAGTAATCACTCACTGATAATTTTTCCGTCCGAGGATTGCCCCTATGTGAAAGTTAATAGCTGTTTTGATTTCACGCCTTAGCGGCACGTACTGTTGCCGAATTACCATTGAAATGAAATAACAAATTGTGGTGCTGGGACCGGTTTTTCCAGTCCGGTGGAATCGGATTCTCGACCTTTAGCCTGAGAAAAGTGGTACTTCGCCTGACTCATGGGCATTTTCCATTCATTTAAGAACAAAGATTCACACGCACACACATTCCCGAAAATGAGTTAGGCTCCGCTAGAGGAACAAGTTTGGGGATAAACGCGGTTTCTATGGAACAGCGGATGACAACAATGTCCACAACAACTGGA